AAGGGAGGAAACTTGAAGCATTTCCTTAAAGTTCGATTTGATCATATCTAACTCTATCTTAGCTAATTGTAGGTTTATAAGTTAAACACTCTTTAGTACGAGGCACAAAATGGCTATTAAAAACTTCAACCGCAGAAAACAGAATACACCAAGCATTGCAAAACCTTTCGCATATTGGCAATTGTTAACAGAAAATGGTAGTTTATCCACACCAATGTAGAGGGCCAATTTGCATTACAAAATAAATACAAAAGTAAGATGAATGTAGTTTATACATACTATCTGTTGCTTGAACAATGGATGGGTTCTTTTCAAGTAAAGCCTGTAACAAGAAAAGTAACATGATGTTGATAAATGTTAGTATACACAGATGGCAAAATTAGCAAAACCATAATAATGTATAAGTTACTTAACATATTACTACAAGCTACGAAGGTAACCACCAAGTAGACATTATAATTTTGTATAACGGTCATACCTCTTCTAGTTCCACTAGAGAATCCAAAGTTCTCTTTGATGAGTTAAATAGATCCGAATATGCTGCTTTGACACCCTCATGTGAATCACAAAATAAAGACCTAACTGGCTCCTGCAGATAACCTCTCAAGTATGAACATAATATTTAACATGACAAAAAGCTAGGAAAATGGGAAAAGGAAAACTGCTGAAACAGACCTGTGGTAATCTATTTGAACTTGAGAATGCTTTCTGAAGCAAGAATCGGAACTCAAGAGTCTTGTCCCAAAGAGCCTTCCAACAAAAGTTAAAAAAAAATAGCATAGAAACAAGGGTAAGAATGAAGAACAATCAGATTATACTTCGCTATATAAATCCTTTTGTCAACTTTAAGGTGACACATAAAAAGAAGCATTAAATAAGGAACAATAATTTCACATTGACGAATAAAACATATTTTGTGGAAATTATAAGAGCCATTATTTGCAAACACACCTTTTGGTTCTTCACTGCTTGACCTTTAAGAAGATCTTCATCCTTGTGACGCTTTAGATTCTTTAAAATATCTCTGCATGGAAAGAAAGAAAAAAAAACAAAGGAAAAAATTAACTTCATATGTTAGCTGAAGTATGTATGTTCTTCTGTTGTTTATCAAGAACAGACAAATTGCATACACATACAACTGAATAACCCAGATACAGGACTAAATACCATTTTTCACTAGGATTTGATTATGAATACATGTTCCTGTTGGTTTGTCCTTTTACAATAACAAAATTAAATAATTACTGAAACTTAGCCTAGAGCTAAGATGAACATAGCACCAGTATTCAATTTCTATAGATACGGTCACAAACTATGTAATTTATTTAGTGACTTCTTCAGCATAATACTAAATTTC